TTTACTTTATCTCAGATCAGTTGAATTAATTATCGATCGTATCCAATAATAGATGTAAGATATTATTAATGAAACGAAGTTAAGTCTTACAACATACTTTAATACACTTTGTTATTGGTCTCAGAATATGAGAAGATTTTCAATGGAATAGCGATAGGGCATTCAGTTGAAAGTCTGTAGAAAATAGAATTTGTATTAGTTGAGCATTTCTTACTAATTAGTAACATAGGCATTTGCAAAATGAGCATCATATAATTGAAATTTAGCTTTAGCTGAAATATTAAACATATCACTTGAAAGGAAAGGCCGCCTAAGATAAGGCAAGGTTTGTCAGGAAGAAAATTTTTTCGCATTAGAAAAATAAAAAGTATTTTCATTTTTTATTTCATCTTTCCTTAATCATATCTTTATTCATCGCTATTTCTCTTCTCCTGTATTTCTTTTAAAATATTTGTTATTAATTTCAGCTAAAGAAGGAGCTTACAAGACATCATTCTCATTTCGCATTACCAGCATCGATTACATTCCAGAATTTGGTGACCCAAATAGCGGGAAATACAAAAAGCTGCGAGATCAACTTCTACCAGATGTAAATTTATGATAATTGGATTTACTCATCTTCAAATGGACCCACGTAATAGGAGGATGATAGACATCATTAACCTTGCAATTTAGTATTCCTCCCGCAATCCTGAATTCAAAATGTTTGTGGCAAATCTACAGTGATTGAAGTAGGGTTTTTATTTGATGGGAAAGAGAAAAAGAAAAAGCCATCGAGATAAAACTGAGAAGTCCGATTTTTTATCATGCTAGAATTCCATCATCTATAAATCCAATGCATACTGCACACTGGTGATCCACAGGATAATCTCGAAGTGACAACATCCTTACTTCACTTCACAGTTTTAGAAAAGTCTAAATGTTTATATTCCTTCGTTAACCTTACTCTTTATAGTTGGAAAAACTATTTGGATCTATATTTGGACATATATATAATGGAATACATTTGGTGAGCTTTTTGAAAGGCAGTGTAATAGTGGACGGTATTGTGTTAACATCAGCAAAACCTGACGATATGGAACAGTTGGCTACCGATTTCGAACAACAAATTACAATGACAAATTTACAAATTGGTGGTAATGATGTGGATCCGCGATCGATCGTACTTGATGGTGCAGTTTCTTTTTTTTTTTTTATCGAAAAATGTCTTAAACTTTCAAATACTGAAATCCAAAAATTGACCGTTTTTGTTTTCAGTATCCTAACATATAATGCATCCTTAATTCAATAAATAGAAATAGAATGAATGGGTTATACAGGAGAACTAATTATTATTAATCATTAGCAATTATAACGGTTTACTTATTACTAATGACTAAAAAAAAAGAAAAGGAATTTTCAGGATTTGTGTCAAAAAATTACGTTGAGAGGGTACATGAAGGTTACACTTCAGGCGGTACATCATCATATATTGTCGGAGGGGGTATAGCTATCGGTATATTAGCTATACTATTAATAGCATTTACTGTTATTGCTGTAAGTTCTTTTTTCCTTGAACCTTTGAAATGTTAATTTTCTTGATAATTTTTGTTTACTGATGTTGTCGCGAATAAACATGACGAAGTTCCGTGATAAAGGTTTATAAATAAATATGATGTGATGTACTGATTTTTATGTACCAAACTGGATCATGATTGAAATTTGAATATCTATTCTTTCTGCATGAATAGAGTGTTATCACTACATATATGTGTATATGTATGCTTATTATTTAGCAATGTACGTTAAAAGTGCTATACGCTAACAAAGAGCATCTTATCAATATGCGTTCCTCAAGGCGCTAATCTTTGTAATCGTAAAATCAATCCTTCAAGGATATCTATATATATATATCCTTCTTTTTTCGAAGCTTAGGGTTATGGTTATTTTGTGATGCTTAATGATTATGAATTGTTAATTTTGTCTCTTTTACCTAAGGTTTAATTAATTGCCCAAATTTAGAGAAAATCTTACAACTCTGGAGTCACATTGCGCAAATTAATTATAGAAGAGTGCAAATTTTCCTCTTTAGATAGGTTGCTAATATATCTTCTTGAAAAATTCTTTTTTCCTTGAGGATTCTTCCCTGGCATAATTAATTCTTTCGTTAGTTTAATTACTTTAATAAAACTGTCGCTATGCATTTCCACTTGCCGTGAATATGTCGAATTACAAAGAATAATGCTTTCTTCTTTCTTCCCTTTACTCTGAATATTTTCATCCTTTTAGTATTCATTGTGCTTCTTAGAAAATTTCTCGAATTCCCTAATATCTATTCTAATTTGTCAAATATTTCTTTCTGATAGAAACTCTTTCCTAATTTGAACAAATTTATTTTATATTTCGAGCTCCTAAACCGCACTATCCTTCCATAAATGCAAAATATCTGCATCGTTGTTTGTGCATATACTCAAATTTAATACTCATTTTAACAATTAATTACTAATGAACTAGATGAATGTTGGGTGTGTTTAAGGTATAATTATTAATTTTTAAATATTTGAGGAAATGTTGAAAGGAGGAAGAAATGCCAATTACTAATGCATACATCCTTTGTATTCTTATTGTTGGATGATAATTTTTGTCAATTTTCTGTTTGTATTTTAATCAAAATTGTCAAAGGAAGAGTTAAACTATGGATCACATTGTTGAGATTGAATCAAAGAATGGATAAATTCGTACTTGAAAATTGATGGAATGATCTATTGCAGACGAATAATAAGCGAGCGAATGGTACACTGAAATTGAAAGAAGAAAATATAGAAATGGGTGATAGCAATCGGTCAGCGTGGCGTAATGGTACGTCACCAGTGAATTTGTGAGTTTTAACAAAATTCTATATATTCAAATATATCATTTCTTGTATTATTTAAATTGTATCATTTGAAACTTATTTACTTTAATTGGAGTTTATATTGAGCTTCATTAGGGTTTGTATTGAGCTTGGGAGGGTCATCAATAAAAAGTGAGGGACGACTTGACCGCTTGCTGAGGCGAAAGGTATCGTATACTGTTGACCCAAACATAAGGCAGACATTATCTGCGTAATTTTTCCCACATTTCACATGCATCCTTTTACTAAGTATGACTTAACTTTACTACACTTTTGGGTTGACTTAACTTTACTACACTTTTGACTTAACTTTTTTTATGACTTAACTTTACTACACTTTTGGGTCGGTCACAACTGGGTAGTATTTGAAGTATGACAGATTAGCCGATAGTTGCCAAGAAATTCACCTACCAATCTAATAAAATAATATATAAATTGGTTCATTAGACTAATAGATTAAATTTTAACGTGAGAAAACGTGATAGCTGTGGGATGATACCTATCTTTGCTGTTTAATAAGTTATATGATCAAGAGCTGGCAGCACATTTACTGCATAAACTTACATTTTTCAGGATGAATTACGGAAATAGTCGTATGATACATGGAGGAATGACAGCCAATACACAACCGCCGATAGCAATGACCGGTTCACAGGTGACCGCCATAAACGCACATGCAGCTACTCATGCTATTCAGTCTCATCCCTAGGCAACTGTTGGCGCTCTTTTACCATTATATTTAGATCACTTCTCAGTCATTTATCAATTAATTCAATTTTTAATTGATCGGATTCTTTCTGATTTTTTTTCGCCTGACAAAATTTGATTCCCAGTCGTTAGCAATCCCTTCTAATGCATGCCTTACGAAGAGAGTGCAAGTTGAAGATGCATGCTGAGTGAATTTCCTCAAAACACTTTGAGTTTTGGTGTTTAAAAGATGATTTAATTTAAATCTAGTATGCGATGGATAATTGGAATTTGAAGAAGTCGAAAAATCACAGAGAAAGTAAAGAAAATATCGGGAGAAACCGGTTTAAATTTTACTGTCTCAATTCATCTCAATGACAAAATTGTTGGTCATTGATCTCTCTATTAGACATCAAGGATCCAAATTTACTTTACATATTGTTGGATTTGCTACCATATGGATTTGTTTTCTACTGTCTCTTCCGCATGAGAAAGAAACATTAGCTTAGGTGTATTCAAACTCATTCCGGATTCTTGTAATTTTCAGGTGAGAGGAAGTTCCAGTTGTGCTTACTTTTCGAGGCCTAGGTAATTGATTTGATCTCTTGATCAGTTTGGTTTAAAATCAATGAGCTAAACATCTTGAAGGGAAAAGAAATAAATTAAATTCCTTTAAATGGATCATTGATCATCATGGAGATTTTCGAAATTTTCTTATGTGCATATTCCCGTTCAAAGATACTTAAAATAATTTACAGTAAGTCCATACTTGCAGCTAATCTTATGTGCTCATTTCATCTATACGTATATTTCTTTATTGTACTTTCTCATTTTTTGTTCTTTTGTTTGGATTTTCCCAATCATAATTGTTTCAACATTCACTAATTGGAAGCTTACTGTTTTCAAATTCAGGATTAGATTTCCGTTTTTCCATTTTTTTTTTCGTGCTACTACTGCTGTACAGCACTGCATAAGTGTTATAAAAAATAAAGTTTGAATTTTGATAGATGCTTTTTTTATCACTAAAAATAAGAACTAATTTCCCCGACTGTTGATTATTTGCATATGCAACCTTTGTCTGAGGAATAAAATCTGGTGATATTATATCTAGGTGATAGCAATTACGATGGACGATGGAGGTTGCCGATGAATAAGTTGTTAAATAGTGAATGCGCAAAAGTGTCTAGTTTAAAAAATTCTTATCAATGAAATAAAATGATTGTTTCATTTTGGAAAAAAGTGCGGAGAAAATTTTTCAAAATTCTTGAAAAAAATTCAAAAACACTTGTGGTGAATTTATAATTAAATTTTGTTTTAGCAGCAATGGGATCTCCTATAACTTCTTCAGAAATATATGGAATTTTCACCTTTAAATGAGAAAATAATAGGAATTCATAATTAAATTTTGCCCTTCATTTTATTAAATATCAAAATTTAGAATTCCCTCAAAAGGGAGCATCTGCAAGTATATGTCGCATCTTATTTTGATCGAAAAATCGTTTATGAAAGGAAGAACAATCGACTTTTTACCTATTGCATATTTTATACAGTAAATCATGCATGATATGTTCTGGACATGGTCATCGTTTCGAAATGAAATTTGTGATGTTGATTGGAAATTTTGTATATTTTGAAATAAGCGTTTCGAAATTCCTTCACATTGTATGAATAGAAAGCACTCATTTTAATTCACTTTTCTTTTTCAGTTAACTATATCTTTTTTCACTCAGGAATCTGTGCATTTGTCTCTTATTTCAGTACAGTGTTGGGATATTTCATGAATCAGTAAACAATCAAACATCTGTAAAAGTGCTGGACATTTTTTTTTTCAGTGGAGAAGTCAGTTTTTTCTATCTGACAAACTTTTTCGAAAATTTTCTCCAAGAATTATTTTGCATTCCTTTTCATACTAAATGTATATGTAACAATCAAACATCTGTAAAAGCTTAATTCAAGAGTAATAAATTGCACTTGTAATCGTTAGGGAAAGTTCAAGAGTGCCATAACCATAATACTGTAATTGCAATATGTGGTCATCAATTACAATACCGTGACTGAGATACCGTTACATACCGTAACCATAATATAATTATGGTACAATAATATAATTATGGATACAGTCATGATACCGTAATCATGCTCCAATGACTCCAATAGCAGTGTATTCACTATAAAAGCTTGATTGCGGCAATAACGGTGCCGTAATCGCAATACCTCAGTCATATTACCGTAATCATAACTACAACATCGTAACTATAGTACCGTGTTTGAGGTGCTGCGATTGTAACACAGTAGCCAGAATGCCATTAATTATGGCACCGTAACCATAACATCGTCATTATATTCAATTTTGATGTCGCAGTCATGATATTGCAGTTACGACACCGTAATCAAAATACCGTGATTACAATATCGCAATTACAACACTATGGTCATGACGCCGCAACCATAATACCGTAATTGTAACACGCAATTGTAACACCACAATTATAATGCTTCTTCAATTAACAACAGTAATCCAATTTATTCTTTTCATTCTCTTTACCTTCCACTAATAGTTCAACAGTCGCGTTACAGTGATACACTTCTGGTAATTACGAATATTCTTTTTCGAGAGGATCTAAAATTCGACACGTAAATTTAAAACGCAGAATTTTGCGCTTTAACATGTAAGAATACCCGCTGAATTCACTATTATAGAGTTTCAAAAATCAATAAAATAAAATAAATGGAATTTATAATTAATATTTTCTGGAATTCCCCATAATGAATATTTTCTAAATTTTTTCGTGTGATGTTTAATGAATTTCGAAATGTGCACATTAAATTTTTATCAAATTGCAAAAAAAAAAAGTGGAAACATCAAAATTTATAAATGATTTAAATGGAACTTCCGAATATTTACATTTTATTTCAGATTGATATTGCAATTAGTATTATGCAGTTTTCAGGGGATCCACATTGCAACAGACGCTTCTGATAATTACGGATATTCCTGCTCGTATGGACCCAAAATTGAACCTGTAAATTTAAAATGAAACATTTTGGGATTCAGCAGATAAGGATGTCCGCCAAATTAGCTATTATAAACTTTCAAAAACTAATAAACAAAATTAAATCTCATAGAAGATATTTTCTGGAATTTTTCATAACGGATAGTCCGTGGAATTTTCCACAGCAGATATTTTGTGGTATTTCCCATAATAGGTGTTTTTCGGAATTTTCCATAACAGATATTTCCGGGGATTTTCCGCGGTAGGTATTCTCTGGAATTCTCCATGGCAAATATATTCTGACATATTCTATGGTAGATATGTTTTGGAATTTTCCGTTATAGATATTTTCTGGAATTTTCAAAAACAAGTGGTTTCTGAAATTTTCCATGGCAGATATCTCCTGGAATTCTTTGTAGGAAATATTTTTTAAAATTTTCCATAGAAATTTTCCGGAATTTTCCGTCATGTTTTCTTGAATTTACAGGCATTTAGAATTTGTAGCATTTATAGACTTGATATTTTCTTAATTTTCTGTGGTAGTTGTCTTTTGGAACTATATACAGTAGCTATTTTCTGGAATTTTCTATGACAAATGTTTTCGGGAATTTTCCATAATAGTCATTCCTGGAATTTTCTGTGGTAGATATCTTCTAGAATTTCCCATAGCAAAGTGCAGGTAGCAATTTAATTGGGTATACGTGGAGTACGAAAGGAATATGTAAGTAAAATCAAAAATTATAATTCTGAAAATGTACAGAAATGAACAGAAACTGAGATAGCAAGAATAATAATATCTTACGCATAAATATGATTGACTGCAGAATACGAAACCACTACACATATATTTATATTATGCAGGAAAAATATGAAACAGTAAACCTATATTGATGCAAACGGAATCCTCCCAGACAATCCATCAGAAAAAATTTATATAAGAAACTATTACTGAACCTAGTGAAGTTATTTACGTTATATCATCAAATTAATTAGTGATGCAATTTATAATTTCAACAAAAACAACCAAGTGAGGTAAATGTAAAGTTACCCCTATCCAGAAAATATTTATAAATGCACATTCTGCTACATGTTACTCATATTCACAATCAAAATACCGTGTTCATAATAGAAAATTCCAGAAAATATCTGCTACGGATAATCCCAGAAAAGATCTGTCACGTAAAATTCCTAAAAATGTTTTTTATGGAAAATTCCAGAAAGTATCTACGTCCCATCAGATACAACCCTCTAAAAACACCCGAGCGCTTATCCTACAACATTTGTTTTCATTTGAATTCTCTGTGAGGAAGAAACCCGATCACCAGTTTATGGCTCGTTTGTAAAAAATGTTTCTTCGATATTGCCATATTTTTTTCTTCGATATTCGATTTTGCTAGCTATCATCTCGTATTCGTTACTTTCGACTGCTATCAGTTTTCGACAATCCAATTGCTGAATTGGAGAGTATGCCATTTTTAAAATGTTACGTGTATGTGATGTACGTGGACATGAGATGTATGTGACGTAAGTATATGGGATGTAGCGTACGTGACGCACGTAGGAGTGATGTGTGTGCGATGTACGTATATGTGGCTTACGTTTGAGGTGCATTTGAGGCACGTGCGAGTGGCGTACGTGTGGGTAACGAGTATGCGACGAATGTATAAGTGACAAGTGGCGCATGTGTGTTTGTTGCTAACGTGTTATCGACTTATGTGACGTAAGTATAGGTAACATAGATATACGTGACGTGCAAGTGACAAATATATGTAATGTATGTATGTGATTTAATGTGTGATGTATCTGCGTGCACAATGTGCAAGAGCACGTACGCATTAATGTTACATTTGACTGAAGTATATGTCACGGTATATTCGTGATACATGCGTAAAAAAGTGTGACACACCTCCACGTGACACATATGTAACGTAAGTGAATGTGAAGCACACGTGACGTGTATGCGGCGTGTGCGTACGTGATGCACCTGCATCTGACGTGTATCTGCATGAGATAGTGCATCCGATGTACATGTGATGTGCATGTACTGACGTGTTTGAGAGGCACGCGTGATTGGCGTACACCTGAAGAAAGCATATGTGATATGTGTGACATGTGAGTACGCGCACGTTTGTATTTGACGTGCACGTTTGTATTTGACGTGTATTTGACGTGCATGTATGTATGAGCATGTATATACGAAAAGTACGTAGAGTACCTCTGGATGTAACTTGTAACGTGTATATCGTTACCGTGACATATGTATGCGCGACGTATACATAACGTGCGTTCGTGCAAAGTACGTGTGCATGAGATAAACATGTTGAGTGAATGTGCCGTGCATGTATAAGACGTGTATGTGACGTAGTCACGTGTACGTGAAGTCTCTGTGACGCATGAGTGACATGTAAATCATGCGTGTTTGTTGCGTGTTCGTGACGTGTATACCACGCACGCCTGCGTGTGACATACATGTGTATACGCGTACCATCATGTAAATTTTGTCATGTCGCACACATGTCTGTCACATTAACGTACGTCAAGTCATATGCACATCGGATGCACTACCTCATGCAGACGCACGTCAGATGCAGGTACATCAATACACACACGCCGCATACACGTCACGTATACTTCACATTTACTTGGTCGCATATATGTCACGTAAGCGTATGTCACACTTTCTTGCACGTGCATAACAAACACACCGTGATATACACTTCACTCATACGTAATGTTAATACGTACGTACTCACGTATGTCATGTACGCAGATGCATCGCAATTAAGTCACACACACATACACACATTATGCACAAAGTTTATCGCAGTATTTATCGCTGAAATATGGATTGCTTTACACAGTTCTAAACTTAGCTCTGAAATACATCATAGATTATGGCACACAAAATTATACTGTTATTCAGCACATGTAATCTTATATTGTTATCTAGAATATGTAAATTTTTGCAGTGTCCCAAGGGTACATAGAACAGTAATAGGTAATTTGGGGGAATTTTATAAATTATATATTTTACGGCTATCGTCACTTTCAAAGGGTGCCAACAATTGTCGGAAAAACTGAAGGAAGTTGTAATGAATTTGTTGTATTCAGTAAAAGAATTTGTTGTATTGAGCATTTCAGGAATAAAAGATTCATCACAAAAATTATACAACGTTACACAAAAATTATACAACGTTTTTCCATGTCTAAACTGATCAATCTGTTATATAACGCTCAATCCTGTAAAAATATCTTTTTCCTTTGATATTGAGATTGTATGCAACTGCTAAATAATTTGTAAAACTTTATCTTATTACAAATCTCTCTCACAGTTGTGAGGAAGCTGCACATCCGGTAAAATAATTTCTATGTAATTTCCTCTTGGACAAGAGGAAAAAACTAATTCTGTATGTTATCGTAAGCCCAACCTACTTATGGCAATGTAAAGGCTACGAGAACGGATTCTCGGCACTCTTCAGTAAAATTTCTTGGTCGGACATTATATCAGCGCCAGCTTTGTCTCCCTTAACTCAACGATAATCATTCCTATTCAAAATTACTGTACTAGTCCTATTTCATCCTCTCTATTTTATATTACCTAATACTATTGTATTATATTGGTTGCTATAATTCTACTATTCAATAAACCTTCCCCTTGCGACTCATTACATCAACAACAAACAACAAAACTTACCGACAACAAAAGACTCAGTGAGCATTTGACTATTCTGGAGTTTTTAAATGTAGTAAGAATAGATCAAACTGGACTTAGAAATCTGAAATAGTCTGGAAAAAGTTTGCCAGGAAATGACGCTGTCGGAACTCATTCATTCTCTTGCTTCAAATTTATCTGGAATTTGAATAATGATTATGCAGCGCCCATTTCCCATATGTATGCAGTCTCGTGCTCAAACCTTCGCCGTCTACAATTATTTCAATATTGCGCTGTACAAATTTTATTAAAAAGGAACTATTCTCCATTGTTTCAAATATCTGAGAAAGATGAAATAATGTTTTCGAAGGTTTTCACTGAAGAACATCATCAAGTACAAGAACAGCCGTAATAATGTACTGAATCTATGCAACATAGGAAATTTGCTTCAATAATCCTGCACGAACCACTTTCACAACTATGCGCTTAATCTAGATTAACTCGACCATTGTTAAATCTTATATGTTAAATCTACCTGATTACTTATATCAGCACTGTCAATTGCCAGGAAAACTGTGTGTTATCTACTCCTCTACGATTCGGATGAATTAGGATGAGCACTACTATTTCAAATTATTTTCGGGCAAAAAACGAAATGAAATTTTATTAATTAAAAACATGAAATTACCACCAATGAAACGTACAGCAGTAGTAAAGGAAGTAATAATCGCTACTAATTTCGAACATAGCATGACAAAGTAATAGTGATACTATTAACAAAGGATAAAAAAAACTTCGCATGTAGGAAACGCCGTGAAAGATTTCTCAAATCCCAATCAACTTGGTTTCTGAAAAATTCAACCAGAGTTTGAACGGAAGCGGCAATAAAAAGAACAGGAATGAGAATGAAGCAATCACTACTAATACTTCTTACATTCTTTTAAAATCCACCATAAATATTTACGATTAGTAATAAATATACAAATACAGTATGTTACAAGCTACAGTTGATGACTGACAATGATATTCGTGTACAATATCAACCAAACTGACAAGACAGGTGCTACCAAATAGTTGTCATTCTCAAAAGTATTGATGAAAATTAGTTACGGATGAGAACAGTAATACAAAAGATTTGAAATGCTGTAGAGAATTTTTACACTCTGATTTAAGCAAAAAATGAAATTCAGTTATGGTGTTTGGGAATTAATATCACATGTATTACGACTGGTCGAAGAATCCTTGTCGCCGAGTTTTTGTTTTTCCCAATTTTTATTTTTTCTTTACGAGAGAAGGGAAAAAGGTACGAAACTGCAAACGTTTCGAAACGATGCACATTTTGAGAGGATGGAACAAAAATTCGTATTACAAACAAAAAAGGATTGCATAAAAACATTTAAAAGAAATTCGAAACTAACTGAACTAATTATCAAGCTAAAAAAGTACGAAGTTTTAAAAAACACGAAAATTTAGGAGCATTTCACCGCAAAAGCCATGGTGCATTTGAAAAGGGAAATTAATCATTCTTAAAAACGCCAAGTGCTATACATCAAAAGCGCAGCAGTAATTGGAAATGACAGCTATTAAACTACTAATTTACTTAAATTACGAAAACAAACAAAACGCTATATACAAAATAAGGAAGTTAACAGCTAGCCTGAAAAAGAACAGGCACTTTTCACTTATTTTGCTTTATTATTTCCTGATCTTTGACTACTAATGTTTGTGCGGCAATGAAAAGATGAAGTAAGCTAATCATTGATTTTAACAGGGCAAAAGGAAAAAAAAGTGTCGCTAGGAATGGAATGAGATGAAAACCGTGGATACCTGGACCAGACCAGAAATGACCAATATATATCAAGCTGTAGAACGCCTCGTTTCCCAAACACATCACAAAAAGGAATAAGCGAGATGTATAGTACAGATGCAAAACTGCATTTTGAGATTGCTAGAAATAAAAACTAATTTTGACTTCAATAAAACAACGAAAAATCTTCAAACATGCATCTCAATTCCCTCCTCTTTACATAAAAGAAGGTACGAAATTCTCCGTTATGCACTCAAACTAGACCATATTCACCAAAATGGGCTTATAAATGGAAAGTTCTGATGAATATCTTAAATCACGTCGTGTTTTCCATCATGTTGCTCAAATTCCATACATGCTAGCTCTCAAATCCGTAATTGTTGTTCAAAACTTACTTTGTGGGTCACTTTACCCGTCACATCGCTAGCGTGAAAATGGAGCCAATGCGAAGCAATATCAATCACAGCTGACATCTGGAAATAAAACAAATAATCGGGATAGAAACATCCGCAACACATTACTAATGCCATGAGAGCACAACGGTCCGTTAACATGTCAAGCATAGCGCCAAAACGTGATGCTGAAAGTAAAATAAAAAATGAAACAATTTTTAAACAAACTAAAAAAATCCAGAAAAATTCAGCCAAAAATAAGAATTAGATTTCGAGCTGATGCATAATTCTAAATTATCAACTTTAATGCTTCTAAAAGATTTCAGTTTATTAGAAAATTCGACTTATTCACAAAAAGAGATTTGACAAACACTGATTATACAGCCGTGCCACATATCCATCAACAGCATCCGAAGCAGCGCTCAGAATATAACAGATTGCCGCACGCCATGGAGCATAGTTCATAGCTTCAAATGATACCACAGCTAGGATAATGCGCAAATATCCAACCAAATTTGGATAAAAAAGCCAAACGTTCGTTTCTGCCATTATCAATCTTAAATATTGAAAACGAAATTTTTTATTTCATGCAAAACGATGCCTGTGGTAACAAACATGATCCATTATTTCTTGAATCAAGAATGCTTGACAATAAATGTAAGAATATACATCGGAGGATAGAAAAAAGAGAGGAAGGAAAAAAGCAAGTGAAGGAAAATCGATACGAAACAACAAAAAAATGGTTTTAAAAAACATACAAAAAGGTTACGCATAGCTGTCAGAAACAATCCAATCCTTTAGCTTTATTAATATAAAAAGACTTGAAAAGACACTTCTCTACAACTATTGCCAAAAAAAGAAAATAGTAAAACGAAAAGATCCATAAGATGGATGGAAACTAAAATTGACGGGTTACCACATTCCCGAAATACTATTTTTAAAGTTGATGAGTTACTACATCACTGAAACACTATCTCGACACTCTGTGTTTCGAATTGTTTCAAATTCCTTCTCAGATATCAAAATGCTCAGTAAATATGAAACAGAACTATAGATTTTGGATAACGTAATAAGTTAAGACTTTAAAATTGACAAATTAAAAAAGGCCAAGACTTTGAAACAACCAATTAAAAAGTTATAACTTTGAAACTGACCAATTAAAACAGAAGTCCAACAAAAAGTGATTTTTTAAGATTTTTCTGGAAGGAAGAAACATGCATCCAGTGTGTATAAGTATAGTAGAGCATGAAGTAGGTCCTTGCTGACTAGAAATGTAAAAATCGATGATGATGATGCACATTCTACTACTTATATTTGCGTGGACTGAAAACAAAAAAGACAATCACTGATTCAAGGAACATTATGCACCCGATTCATTGGCATTATTAAAAAGGGCGCTATTAAAAATGCAGGACTAGAGAAAATAGGAAACAGGAAGAGAATTTTTGATGGACCACAACCGATAAGTGAATGAAGACGTTACTCGAACTGCGAGAGCGTCTGAAATACTGTTATCATGTTTTGCAAAAAACTGCTTGAAAACAAAACAGGAGAGGGAACGAAAGAGATCAAATGACATTAACGGCAAATTAATAAGAATAAAAATTCTCTTACAAAAAAAAAAAAAATTAAAAAAATTAAATAAGAATAAAAATAGTACAAGGTCTATTTTTTTCTTTTTTCTCATCTTGCAAATGTTGCATAATTTAAGTCTAAAATGCAATTTTTTTGTCATATGCGCAGCTTTCTGTTAAATATCTTAGGCCTAACATAGTGAATTAGCATTAACTTGCCAATCACGTGCGATCGAAATACCCGACGGGGTATTTAGTTCGTTTAAAAAAAAAGTAAATAAGTGTTACCAAATTATTTTTATACATTAATGTTAGTTTTTACCTTGGTTTCAAAATGAAATTTGCATGGAACCACAAGTCCGATCAGTTAAATTTCCGGTATGACTGTGCACGATTTTGATTACAAAACTTATCCACTTTACAAGTTTCTGGACTGGAAACATTATGAAAACAGAAAGAATGTGTAACACGAAGGAAAGTAGATAAACTCGCCTTAGCCTTGTTGACAATCAAAACTTCGTTATTATACTTTGCTTTCCAAGAGGAACATCACATTGATCGCACCCTTGCATTCTTTATTTCATTTCATTTCAACCAATTTCGAAAACATCCTGCGATATTTAAAATAAAAAATATTTATCGCACAACAGATGAGAACTATTCGAAAATCACTAGGTTTGACCGCACAAAGTATGGTGGAACAGCGAGAGAGGGGAAGGTACGAGAGTTGGCGGAATACAGTACTATGACAGATGCGCGAATTCTCGAAAATTATATAATGTAGAATCGCTAGAGAAAGAAGAGATTCATTCTACTAGAGGGTTAAGGTAGATGGAGAACAGTAAGAGGATTGATTCAAGGATGTTATCTTCCCGTTTAGTTTAACAACGAGTGGTTTTGAATATAGCTTCTAGAGCGCTATTGTTGAAGCCTTGAAAGCGAGAATCAAGAAACCTCGGGCAAGTTTATTAAAGTCTGCTGCAAATCTCAGCCTCTGTTCCACGCTAAAATTGTTGTTACAATGTTAAGGACGAGGGATGGATTTTTGCATTGAAGACATCGCGAAAGTTTTTAGGTACGGGATGCATTTGTTTCATACTGGGACGCATCGAGGTATCTCGGGAGTAGTTTTAGGAGTACATCTGGAAGGGAGTTCGTCCACTGTGTGTTTGTTATTCTTAGCACTAAACGGTTTAACTACTCTTCCTCATCTTTGGCCCCGTTTAGAATTACTGAATCATGCAGATCCATTCCAAGATGCACTCGCTAGTCGGCGCTAACGCGCTGCGCAGAACGAAGTGCGGCGCAGCTCTTAGTAATTCATCGATGCTTATTCGTGAAGGGTTAACAAGGTTTTCTTGAAGAAGTGCCAAATTTTGAAACTCGAAATCCCATTTAGAATGTCTTTTTTTTTTTTTACACATATGCAAATTGCTCTAATTTTAAACCCTTCAGATTTTAACTTGTTTTAACCGCTCCTCGAGCTAAAGTTATCCAAATAGCAGAAAATATAGAGAAAATGGCCGCTACAGCAGCAGCAGCACCAGGAGCAGACTTCCACTATGGCAATGCTGCGGGCGGTGGTGCTGGATATAATGGAGCGGTATGTGTCTATAAGCCAGTTATTTGGAGAATGCAAATAATGAGTGACTAGGAAACTTTTTCATTTGGGGGGGATTTTCTTTTCTTCAATTCTTTAATCGGCTGTTGGATTTTTTGACTCATAGACCATGATTACTAAATTTTTGTTGGTGCCCAGCATGCCCCGTAATTGCTAAATTTAAAGACCTAAGTTTATAAAGTTTCATAAATGAGTTTGTTTTTTCGTCATTAAATATATAATAGTATATGTTGTTCTGATAAATAGATTTACTTCGGAATGACTTCAGGGTGGACCGCCGGGAGCTTTCCCTGGTGGTTACGGTGGCGCTCCAGGAGGTTATGGAGGATATGGTGCTCCAGGTTATGGTGGTTATGGTGGTTATGGTTATATGGACACTCAAAGTCCACTTGATGCGGAAATTCAGGTTCGTAAATTCATTATTACAAGAGATAACGAAAAGATGGTGATAAATAAGCGGCGCATCTCTAGTTGTGGCTGCTTGCTCTATTTACGATATTATGCTGGCGGATATGAAGGGAAAAGGAAGTGATTTTTTTGCCAATTTTATATAAATAGTGTTTGGCAAAAGCCTTTGCTTTTAGTATTTGCCATAATTCGTACATGTGCACCCATACTTAGAACTTCAAAGTGATACAAAAAAAAAAAACCAAAAGGTCGGTTGCGAGCCAAGTAAATGTTCAAGCCCCTTCCATAACAGAGGTGCTGTTTACTCGTTGATATTTCCTTATAGCAGAAGTCAGCGAATGTATTCCTGACTTTTTGAGTGGGGGATTTCAATATCAAATGATTTCCAGGTCGTTATTCGCGAAATACACAATGAGCAGCAACTGATGGAACAAGGCGGCGAATGGGGTGAACAGTTCAAAAATGCCAAACGATTGTTAGCTGCTGAAGCAGACAAATTAGAAAATTCCATTGATCCAGAGTGGCTTGAAGTTGATATCGCTAAACCAATTAAAGTCTCCAAGAAGGTCAAATCTCACTTGGTTTTTGTTTGTGAACTATAAATTATTTGGTGTAGATTGCTGTTTTGTCGCTAGTGTTGCATTATTCTGAAGGCAGCATTTAACTAAGGCCAGCAAAGAAACTGAATTATGAGATTAATATTTGAAACAAATTCTTTTAATAAAAACTTCCTCATTTCAGGTTCTGATCCCCAACTTCAGGCACCCGCATTTCAATTTTGTTGGTAAAATTTTGGGACCAAAAGGAGCAACTTTGCAGGCAATGGCGAAACAGTTCAAGTGTCACATCTATGTACTTGGTCGTGGTTCCACTAAAGATCGCGCCAAGGTCTTATAAGCTTTGTTTGTGTTCATCATCCCAAGTAATAGCCAATGAAAGGATTAAGGATCATTGTCATTAAATCTTTTCCTTAATTAGGAGTTGTCTGGAAATGTAGAAGTTAGTGAACATATTTTTTTGTAACAGGAACAAGAATTACTGCAAAGTGGAGATCCGCAGTATGCCCATTATGGTGGGCCACTGCATGTAAAAGTAGAAACAATTGCGCCAGCACATGTTGCATACCAGCGAATAGCAGGCGTTTTAGAGCAGCTTTCTGGTACTTTGCAACCAGTAAGTTCTCAGTTTCTTTCCTTTTTTGTTCTGTTTTGTGGTTCGACAAAAGTCTTGTGGTTTTAACTTTCTAGAATGAGTCTGAGTCAGTAGTTGTCATTTATCACTTGTAGTTGTTTATTAACGTTAAATAGTTAAAGATAAATTGTTCAATGCTGAAAATCCAAAAAAAGAAAAAACTGAACTTTCGATTTTTATATGACATTGTTTAATACCTCCTGTTAGCACTGTTCAGCATTTCACTTTATTGGTTTTGTGATAAACTAAAAAGTTGTATAGGTTTTGCGGAAGAACTTATGGTTTCAAACAGTCAAAACACTGAATTTAAGTCGTACATCAGTTGATCTGTCGATGATTCGGATCACTGTGTTATGACTTGTTTCAAGTAGTTTCTGGTACTTTTTTTCTCTGTGCTATCTAATGCCACCAAAACAATTTTTTCAGACACGAGATGAAACTTTTGACAAGATGAGTAATCAAGGTGGAGGAGCGGGTGACGGTGGTGAAAAAGGTATTCGTTTTGATTGAATCTTCGAGTTTACTAGTAATAGCTCTCTCCTAAAATTTCTCTTTGTAGCAGATGGTGGAGAAGACGGAGGTGACGATCAGCCAGGTGGAGGAGCAATGCGGGGAGGAAGAGGAGGTTTCCGTGGTGGTAGAGGTGGGGAACGTGGTGGTTTCCGAGGACGTGGCGGTGATCGAGGAGGAATGCAACGTGGTGCTTATAGAGGCGTTCGAGGGGGTGGTGATCGTGGAGGGTAATGGAAAACATTTTTTCATCTCAAAATAACTGAGCAGTTGTATTGCTTCCGGAAATATTTATGTACTACTGATTACTGCTACATTTGCCAAGTTTTCATGTCATATTTTTTGTTTCAGGTATCGTCCGTACTGAATGCAATCTTAGATAACCCATGTCTTCAACAGTTCCATAATTCCAAGTTAAAACAATCTAAAAATGTTTTTACCCACGTTTTTTCAACTCTTACTCATATCCCCTCCAATTTTTGATCTACGTATCTCAGCAAATCATCGCATTCTGTAACAATACAAATATGGTTAGTTGTATTTTTTAATGAGTTTTTAACGGCCTGGTGGGAGTAACAAAATTAAATTGATAACACAGGTGATTTTGAGTTTCCCTAGAAATTTTGCTTTTGAAATATTTTGTTCGTGTCAGCTTGCTTTTGATATTATCTTGGGTAAACAATTATTCTCATCTTTCTCTCATCCAGTCAACTTAATCAATATCTATTACTTTTACTTTAACTTCCACTGGGTTATTCAACAGTTATTCAAAAGTCTTAACTCAATCATCATTAAAAGACTGTAATTATAATAAGCAAGCTGTTTAACACTGTCAGGGGTGAGGCAATAAAATATATATTCAATCAATGCAATGAAATATAATTTATCTTACAGGTGGTATCGAGCTTCCTCACTCAAACATAAAAGCTAAACTTAAATAATCGGCAATCTTCAAATTAAACTCTCTCAAATGAAAGTGATGAATGAGAAAGAGAAAATTGGATGGTCACGCTGAGATCTGCAAATTTTTAAAAAGCACAAATTAAATTTTTCAGTGTTAAATTTTTAAATTTTCAGTGTTAAGTATTTTGCTTTTTTGTCTTTTTTTAAGTGGTAATATTCATTTTTCTAGAACTTAGTCGTTATTCTAATAATATCGGTTGCGGGTGGTGCTGCATAGATTTTGACAATGCGCAGAATGGCTTAAATAATTCAAAATCTGGTGTGTGCGGCATGCGTAACACTTCCCCTCCCGTATTAAAGTTTTTTAATTTTTTTTTCTGCATTATTCGGTAAAAATGGAGGTCACTCTTGACCTTGATGGCCTAACTCTTAGAGATAATAATCTATAATAGATTTACTTCACATCAACAATTAAGATGTTAGGTTTAAAAAAGAATTAAATATAGCAGCCCATCCGCAGCTTCTCTCAAGTGTTAAAATTTGTTCACAGTTATATTGCTCGAATCCACCAGTAAAATGTTGTTCTGTTAATGTGGGGTTTTGTTTAACATTAAATCAGTAATGACGTGCTAATTTTGGATTAATGTGCAAACTGCTTTGTTGAAAATTTTTGATGGAAGAAAATTCATCTATCAAGAATGTAGATAGAAGTAGTGGTAGTTCAAAAAATTGTTAGGAAAAAAACATTTCATTAATGAAGTCTAGGAGTGAGATAACGAGATTAGGAACGAAAATTTTTGTGTTTTTTAAAAAGTCTTCTGCAAAAATCTGTAACAGAAGCGAGAAAAATCCTATTTCTACAGCTTCGAAAAAGCTGTTGGTATTTATTGGGTGATATCTAGAGAGCAGCGCTGTAATACGTCTCTTCTTATGAGGTCTTAAATTCTGAAGTTACAATAAGTACGCAGGATCTATATCTACTGCCCAGGGTTCTGATATTAAAATAATTTAATCCTACATTTAAATGCAAAAATACTGATCATTTTGTTTATTAAATGATACTAATACAGAATTTGACAAGGGATTTGTGATGCTTGCTAAGTGTGCCTTTGCTTTTGATTCTAGGTCAATATGCCTAAGGTCTGGAAATAGTACGAGAAAGGAAGTTGAGACCTGACTATCTGTCTTTAGCTCTCTTTCTGCTTAAACCGAAGTTAGCCTAGGTTAGAAGGAGAGTGTTGTGATTTGTGGTAATTTATTTGAAAGAATCTCAAATTCATATATAGAATGAAAATCTATACTGCAATATTTAACGAACAAGGAACAAAAAATGTTAAAAAACCGAAAACATGGATGTAAATCGGCATTTAATTATATATGGTTAAGTTTATCTTCATATATTTGTGGAATTTTGAGGTAAGACTTGAGCGAAATCTAACTTTCACCGTAGATTCAATCTAAATTATAACAGGAATAGTGTTCAAAACAACTTCCACTATTTTCCAAAAAAAAAAAAAAGAAATACATAATGTTGTAAGTGGATTTGGATATTTACTACTAATAAGCAAATTTCAGGACCATTGATCCTATATTCGGGTGAACATCGATCTATGATTTCGTGACGCAGTGTTAGCTTCGGGTGGCTGTGATCTCAGAATGTTGCCAGTGCCTTTGCTACGCTATTAAGATTGTTGTCGTTGTGTAAATATTCTTGACTTATATTAATTTTTTCTAATAAATTTTTTAATAATAGTGGCTTTGATGAGGTAGAACTCGTTTTTTCGAGGTCAAACATCTCTCCAGATGGTGTGGGATCTGGAAGGATTTTAAACCAGTAATTCTTGGATGAAAATATTATAGTTTAAGTCGTGAGGAAGAAGAGGAAGTTAGCTTGGCGGTATGGAAAGTGATATACATATGGGCTCTATGTAGTGTAAGCTAGGGCTTTGACGAAGCTTTAAAAATTGGAAGTAAGTTTAAAGTTAGAAGGAAGAAACATCCGAAGTGGTTCAAGTTTTAAGTGAGGTTCGTGCGTTTGGCATTTGCATGGTTTTCGGAAAAACAATTTTATGTCATTCTTGGCAAATTGTAAAGGGATGTTATTTGATTAGTCATTGTTTTTTTGGGTTGTGAGTAGTTATGTGTTGTATGGATTTATGGCAAATAAGCTTTTAAAGTTTCTGATTTATTAGCATTTGTCGACGCATAACTTTTGCGTCTTTGTAGAGTCGACAAATGACTAGTCGAAGCAGCATGGAGTTTATGCTGGTTGGCTGAAATGGAAAATGCTGAATTGAGGTGAAGGCAGTAAATAGGATTAGTTTGGTGAGAAGGAAAAAGGAGGGTTCACTTAGGAATTAGGTTATTTTTAATTTGTTTGCATGATATTTTCACCCTACTAATCTATGGGGAAAAATTCCAAATGAATGCTAAAACTAATCGGTATTAATAGGGTTAGGGAAACTATCCAAAATTTGGTATTGATTGTTTATGATGTCAGTAATTGTCTATGTAAATATGTTATGTACTCCTTCGTTTGAATGGGTAAAACTACTGAAGTACGCTTTGCAGCACTTTTTACAGTCGCTTCCTTGCATTTTAAATTTCATTTTTGCTGTGAGCTTGAAATGTTGACTCTTCTTCTTTTACTCGTTCTGTACGGGTACATGTACAAATTTTGTCTATGTTCTGTTTATGTTCGTTCTGTCGTTTCCAAAGATCCAAATATGCCTTTCCGCTTTCCATTGCATTCCAATGGAAGTGGAAGAGCACATTTGGATTTGTTTTGTGGACATAACTTGGTGCATAAGTTTGATTTTTTTCGATCAGACGTATAAAAGGATGGAAAAATATAATTTTCTCCCCTATTTAGGTAAGAAGCAGGTCATACTATACTTTGCTTCACTGTTTCTTTTATTTAAATTCTATTATTAAGAATAGCTAAAGCCTTAAGTGAAGTGCATATGTAGAAATGCCAGATTTTGCAGTTGAGTTATGGGTATAAGAATCTGTTTCCTTCCTAAACATGCCGCTACATTTTGCTTCATTTTACTCTCGTATCATTGAAATTTTGAAGTTCTTCATTACATTCAATTTTTCATTATATTCAGCTTCCTGCACACCAACATTTTACAGTGTTTCTGAATTTAATATGCCGGTGAAAATCGATACTAACAAAGAAGGCGACGGTTAGCTTATGTTTCGCATTTCGACTGTTAATATTATTCACAGTTTCATGACTCGTTTTAATACATTGATTGACCTTATTTCCGGTTGTTAAAGCTATCTGATCCTTAATGGCGGATACGCCTCGATATTTTTTTGAATATTTTTTTAAGGTTTCTAAAACATGTGGAGTACATATTCTTTCATATTTTTACCTATATAATGGTAATGAGATGCTTAATATAGCAATGAAAATAATGAGATGTTTAGTTCAAATGTCCTGCAGGAGAGGTGAAATGTGCTAAAATGTTTTTAAAGAATAGATTTTAAATATTTTCAGGCCAAACATTTCCGAAAACGGGCCAAACTGTAACTTGTCACTATGTGTTGACTTTGGAAAACGGAGAGGAGGTAAAGTTTTCAATCGTTTCAGTGGTTTCAATGTAGTTCTTTCGCTTCAGGTTTGATTTCTTAATTTTTTTGATTTCTTAGTACTTAAGATCACTTTTAGATAGACAGTTCACGTTCACGCGGTAAGCCATTCAAATTCAGGATCGGCGCTGGTGAAGTCATCAAAGGATGGGACGAAGGTGTTGCAAAGGTTTTATTTCTCATACATTTAAAATGTGTTATCTTCTAGTTTTACCCCCCTTAAATTTTGTTATGCTTAGTCTTCAGCGACATTCATAGATATTGAACAAATTAGAAAGTGCAATGAGAATCAAACTTAATATGTAATTTACAGATGTCTGTTGGTCAACGTGCAAAGTTAACAGTTTCGTCAGATCTTGGTTACGGTAGTCGAGGAATTCCAGGCGCTATACCACCAAATTCAACTCTGATTTTTGATGTTGAACTTCTTAGTGTCGAATAAATGACGGTAGTGACCTTACTGTGTCGTTCAGTCGCTGCCATCTACCTCCAGTTATCTTTGCTTATTCGCAAGCTTTGGAAGTGTCAAGAGAATATTTTGGATTTTAATCCCCTTCTAAACGATCAGTTGAAGCCTTGAATTTATTTCTAAACTCATGGGGTTTCAAATTCCTTTTTGAAATATCCATGTGTTTTTTTCTCTCCCTCTCGATTACACTTGTTTTATTGTTGCTTCCAGTTTAGTAATATGTAGCTTTACTGATCAAAATGTCACTGGCAGCTACTTGCTGTATTTTCTTTTACATTAACATGCTGATAAAGTTTGTTTTACATCCTTAAGATGTTTATGCTTAATGCCGTGAAAAAATTATTTCTACTATAAGCTGTTGTTAGAAATTGAATAACGTTATATATAACCTTTTGATATTTCTGTTTATTTGTAACCTTCATATTGAAAGTATTTTTTTTTTTTTTGAAAAAGCAAGTTTTGAATTTTTTTCGTTTTGTATGTGCTTGCTTTCTCGTTCATTGTCCGGTTTGGTTTCATATACAATAGAAAGAGAATTAGTTTTGAGACGAACTTATCGTTATATTGTAAAATTTTGGACGTAATTACATAGTGGAACAGAAATAAATATCATGGATCACCAGAAGTAAAGTGGAGTTAGGGTTCAGGAATCCAGGAAGTTCAATACCTTGCAGAACAGAAATTGGTAATCTTCAACGTTTTTTAAGGTTATCTGTTGGCGCTTGAATAACTCAGGTTTGCGATTGGTGTTCGGTAAACTCCCATCTTGTATCAAGCTAACTGTAGATCTTGATACAATTCAGGTCGATATCTTCCTAAAGCATAAGGCATTGCTAATGTGAGGATTCGTTATTTTTGTTGCTGGATTCTTGATTTTGTGATATTCCTTTTCTGGGCCAAAAAAAAAACTGAAGGCTGATATGATAAAATGACTAGCTAAAAGGAAAGCAGTAACGAGCCATGTTTCCAGAGCCTATGTTAGCGTTGGATTGATAACGATTTCTTTTAGCTGTTGTAAAGCTCGAGTGAATTGTTTTGTGAAATGTGGAGTCAGCGGTTGTTTCAAATTGTTAGAAAAAGTCGGTGTTTACTGGTCGTTTCACCATCCACATCATTAGTTCGACCAGGTGAATTTCATTGGGTTGAAGTCGTGATTATATTATTATTTTGGAAGATGAAAGGTTGTCTAATAATTGAAGTTTGTTTAACAATTTGTTCGGGAATGGGGTCCTGAATGTTAAAGGAGTGAAGTATGAGCTGAGAGAATGATGGCCGATGTATTTTGAACTGTTTTAAATCCCAGTTATTGTTTATGGCATAATTTTTTTCCAAAACGCTGAAAAGCTTTGTTTTTTTTTTATTTTTCATTTTTCAGTGATCGTAATAAAATGTGTACATAGCGGAGTCACTGTATACAAATGTGAAATGAATTTCTCAATGATTTATAAGAATCTATTGTACACTTTACAACTGAGAAACATTTAAAGTTGCAGCTCGAAGTATGTTTATCCAGGTGCATGAAACTCCTAATCCAGCAACTCTAAAATTTATTCCGGGTAGAATGATTATGGGAAAAGGTAGAGGGACGCTTGATTTTGGTAACTTCTTGTCTGCAAAGAGAAGTCCATTGGCCATGTAAGCTTTCATTTATCCGTTTTTATGAGGAACCTTGTACATACCATCACTAATTTGTCCTCCTTTTCACTCGTGAAGCAAAAGAAGAATGAAAAGTAAATCCGGAGTTTTTCTTAGTTCAGTCGAAATTTATGAAATTTTCGTTTTGGAGGACAATAAGTTTTTTTTTTCCTATAGGGAACTGTTTCGAATTAACGGTGTGAAAAGCGTTTTCTTCGGTGAGGACTACGTTACGATTACAAAACAAAATGAAGTCGATGATTGGGCACTTCTAAAACCTGAAATTTTCGCAGTACTTATGGATTATCTTCAATCCGAGAAACCAATCATAAGTGAAGGTGAAATGCCAAAGGGCCCTGAGGATACTGGTGAGTTTCTGCAGATTTCTTAATGTAATATTTTTGTTTAAGGGGAAAAGGGAACTGCTCATTTTAAATTTATGATGTTTAACTTTTTACTGCACTTGTTTGGTAGGATTTTGTTTTCGATATTTAAGAAATACATCCGGAGGATAGTGATACAGTGGCAATGATCAAGGAATTGTTGGAATGCCGTATAAAACCAATGGTACAAGAAGATGGCGGTGATGTCATATATAAAGGTTTTCACGATGGTGTAGTGCATCTTAAAATGCAGGTAATGAGGTACCAAGAGTTAAAGTTACAAAAAAATCAGAGCTTCTGATGAATTTCTTTCTATGATGAATTTCTTGTCTGGGTTTACTACATTTCATTCCCTTGCATTCTTGTGTTTTCAATTTTTAAACATTTGATTCTATTTCGAACATTTAGGTATTCTTTTTTTCTTTAAAGTCACGGTTAAATTCACTTAGTTTCCAGTGGTCTGTAACATATAGTAATATTTTTCAGGGGTCGTGTACGGGATGTCCAAGTTCATCGGTGACACTTCAGTTCGGTATCAAAAACATGCTACAGTTTTATGTACCTGAAGTAAAAGATGTTTTGGAAGTGAAAGATGAGGCAGATGATGTTTTGGATTCTGCCTTCGATGATCTAATGGGCAAAATTAGGGTAAAACCAAACGCAAACAAGCGGAGTAAAGAGTGAACCTCCAAACTTGAGTGCTTTGAATAGTGCAACAGTAAAATTAAGAGTACTGGTTGACGACTAAATAAGATATTTCTTGATTTACATTTTTGATTCATATTTGCATCTTTACATTTGAGAATAATTTTCCCTATGTGAGTTTCATGTACAGAGGAAAGTAATGTCCTTTTCGATGATTTGTTTTTTTTTTATTGCGAAATTTCGGCAACAATAATAAGCTTTAATATTCGCTACTGCTGACTGTTGTTGCCACAAAGTTCAGTAAAGCAAACCAATCATGCATTCTCTACGCATGCAAGAGGTCTAGTGAATGCGAAATACTAAAAACTTCAACTGTTTAGTGGTTCCCAAGCAGCGACCCGCGAGAACTAAAATATAGTCCGCGAGCAGACGACGCGGTGCTTGAAAAACAGATAGGGGTTATTTTTATCAGTGTTTGATAAACTAATACTTCAAAAGTTACTGTTAAAATTTGTTTCCAAATCAACAGAATTTATTATTTCTGAACCTTATGGTTTCTGTTGCAAATAAAAAAGCCGAAGTGATTGGAAACCACTCTAACACAGTGTTGTCAGGTATGCAAATTCAAAGAGTAATGTCGAAGTTTATAGTCAGCTTAGTTGAAGATTTGCCTTTTGTTCTCAGTTTATCAATATCGTGTAAATGCAAAAAATATTTTACTACACCTGACTTCCATTTTACTTGATCACTTTAGTCTGTATATATTTTGAACACAAACATGAATGTTTCACACATACGACCAGAATATATTTGCTTTCTGGTAATTTTTCTTGAGAGATGGTTTATGATAGAGTTTCCTACCTTCCTAATCCTCGAAAATACGTTTGATACTCATACAAAGAGAGAGATTTTTTAACTGCGATATCAAACATCAACATCCTCACCACTTTATAGTATGGCCTGTTCAGTATTCGATAACGTCAAATCTATCAAATACTTATTTTCAAAAAAAATTACTTTGCCGCAAGAGCTGCTTTTCTTTCAATGGTAACGTTCTCAGTAACGTTATGGAATCAACACTTATTTTATAGAATAGTTCATCAGTATGCTTCGTGTTTGAATTATTGCTGCTGGTGCAGAAATTTAGTTTTGCTGTAGGCTCTCTAATTCTCAATTTCCTTCAAACCAGTAAAAACTACCGGAATTGAGGTATTATTAAAAGCCGTGATCTTAATTCAAATTGGATGTTAATTTATTCGTTCCTTTATTAAATTGCGACTAGCGATTTTGCATTCCTAATTAAAGATCATTAAGTTTAGGCTATGCTCTGATCCAGTTGTGTTGTTTTTAGTTCGAATGTTTTCGAAAGCAAAAATAATAAAATCATTAAAAATACCTAGTCTACCTAGTGATGGTGTGGTTACTGGGTAGGCCAGATATTTTTATCGTACAAGCTAGTTTAGCCATTCAGCTTTTTTATGAACTGCGTTCAGTACATATTGGTCATAATCTTCAACAATTTGGTCCGAATTGAATTCTGTCGCAAATTTTTCTAGAGTACAAAAACTAATAAATTTCTGGCAAGTTCCACTATCAATGAGGGAAGCATCTATTGAACATACATAATGCCATACGACTCAGAATTATGCAGGCTGTACCTTACCGTACACTTTATTTGATTGTCCAGATCACCTACCAATCAAATAAATACCTTTATTTGATTAAAACAAAGTAATCAGGTGTGTAATGTGAGAGATGGATAATATAGCATAGTAATTCAACGTACATCAAAGTGGAACACATTACTCAATCTCGTTATCGTTGAATTCACTCATTGTCTCCCTGCTTTTGCATAGCGCGTCACTTCTGCTGAACCTTCAATATTCGTCTGCTACTGTGTACGGAGATAATAAGCATGATTGTGTTGCGTTATCTCGTGTGTCAGCTCCAAGCTGGATTGGGAAATGTGGAGGTAGTAAAAATGGATGAACGGAATAGAGGATGAAGCAGGTATTTCTGGTACTTATACGGGGAATTACTCTGTGAGTTTTTCAATGTTTGAACTAGAAAACTCAAGAAGATGTCTTCTACCATAAGCAAAGAGAAAGAAAGTGAGCTATTGATGAAAAATTGGAAATAAGCTAGGAAAAATCAAACAGAAGCTTTAAAATCTATAAAATATTGGTGTAGATTTAATTAGTTGCAAATGCTAAAACTTCTCAATTTCCAGCGTTTGAAGTTAATTGGAAATAAGAAGAATGGAATTATGATGTCATTTTTTAGAGATATAATATGGTACAAGGTCTGCTGTTAGTGGTTATCATAATCCTCGGCGATGTATAATACGCGATAAAGTGAAACGAATGAAAACAATTGGTCGTCTAGACGTACTAACATTGTTTGTTCTTTCCGAAATACGCCAAAATATTGTTAGGTTGGAAAAACCATTGGTCCTATATGATTTGAAAACCTCGATCATTTGGGAAGCAAAAGCTAATGGCATTAAGGGTTGGCTTAACATGAGAGGTTAATTTGAGAATGATTGAATCTGGAAGTTCTGGAACTAAATAATCAGTTGAGTGGTCGAGAAATGCTTATTTCAAACAATGCGAAAGTTCCGAAGGGATCAAACTTCATTAAAGTTTATCAATTGTCTCTGGCACTGCTTTAGAACTTGAAAGTATAGCTCCCGATTCTAATTTCTTCGTACCAATTGAAATACAGTGGAAGTTTCAGTTATTCCATCGTTTAATTGCATAAAAATAAACTGCCGAACTCCAAGTTATATCAGGATAAGAAAGACTAGAAAACTGAAGACTGTGGGAACTGTTCTTACATGCGTTGGGTTAGGAATGTAAATAAAATAATTAATGGAAAATCTTTTCGATGATAAAAACATCCAGTCGTAAATTTGCTAGGTTCTCCAAATTGTTATGAAGACATAAGGTAATTCATATTCTACATTTTTTGAAATTCCAAGTACGACGTATGAGCTTGTGACCATATCCTTACGTAGCGATTCGTCAGAAATAATGATTTTTTGATAAAAATTCGTTTGCTCCATTCCGCCTTTGTATTTTTGTTTTGATATGCACGTATAATTTGTTACATATCATTGTTCTTGGTGTGTTTGTAATTTAGAAATTTTTGAGCAAAAAAGACAATTTCTCATGCTATTTCCAACTGATATTTATATCAGCTGTCTGCGGATATTAATATTGTTTCAACTCATATCTGACAGATTTTTGGATTGCCTCGGCGTTGACTATAGGAGATTCCAATTACGGTGTAACTTCAGTATTTGTGATTTTTTTGGAGTCGATTAGAACTATCGTTAATATGCGCGAAGTTTCACTGAGTTCACTCTGTTCTGTGCTTTATATTATTTTAGATCGTTCTCAGATTTCGCGTTCTGTTAATATCATTTCGTCCTTTCTTCGGTTATGTTGAAATATCTTGTAAGTTTTTTTCAAGCTGTTCCATATTCTTGGAATCTGGTCATCTTACTGTCATTTATTGCTATACATGGGTATTAATATATAGACGTGGGAATTAGCATCCGGAAATTTTCAGGCATCTTTTGGTATTGGAGTTTATGTTGGTATCTATCTGGATCAAAATCGTCAGGTGGAATATTTTTATTATTACTTTAACCAAACTGAGTAGCGCTGAATGACTTTAATCAAAGTAACGCAATTAAGAATGGTATCGAAAAATGAAAAATTGAACAAAGATATGAGCGGGCATGAGTATATTTTAAAAAAGGAATGATTATAAACGGTATGGACATTAGAAGTAAAAGTAATAAGCTGTTCTTAGACTAAAATAGAACATTGCGAAAAACAGCTGATGGGGATCAACAGAAATGTAGTCTGGAAAATATTTTGATTGAAGTTATTCAGAAAAAGGTCGTTTTAGATTCAAATGGTCTCTTCACCGAAAGAATTATTTAGTCGTTTTTTGGACGAAGCTGATCACTTCCTAACTGGTGTTCGTGAGGAAAATACGAGTAACCGGGATCAGGTGAGGAAGATGGAAGACGATTTCTTCAAGGATGTAGAGGATTGGTTCAAACCGAAGAAGCATTTTCCGTAATAGTTATCTTTCTCATGTATTCTTGTGTATATATGGCAGTTCTCTGTTTGACGTATTTTGACTTCCCTTATCTATGAATTACAGTAACATCATCCATTTTAAAAAGTTTTGAAATCTTGCTTCCTTTCAAATCCATACCGTTTATTTCAAACATTTTTTATTGGTAGTATACTGGCCATTGTAATGCGTGATTTGCAAGAGATATTGCTTAGTCATAAAACAACATAAATATTCCTCCTGCTTAAATTATACCGACGTATTTTGAGTGCCACCACTTTGTCTTTTTTTATCTCTATCATTCACATTTGGCATAAATGCAAGTGTGGCGTAAAACCCGATCTGTCCACTGCGCTTCATTGATGAACAACTAAAGGTCTAGGTAACTTATTCTAATTATCTTGGCATTTCACTGAACTCTGGGGTGGAGCTATCAAACAGAAGAATCAGAACGGAGTTGATGTTTAGATAACACTGGAACTTCCAAGTCACATGGTTCTCCTTATATTTTTATTATCCATCTCAAAATTATTACATTTCTCGGCATTCCCAGCTTATTTCTTTTTGCCAAAAATTATATTGTTGATTGTTGCTGGTATTGGTGAAAGCATTTTGTGTTTTAAACATCTAATCGAGAATTTATAGTACTTCCTCCTCCAAAACCCCATTAAAATTTTTAATAACTAAAAAAATTATTCAGTGATAAATATAATAGTGTGTCAAAGAGGCTTCTACAATCTTTTGCAAAAGGCATATTAATTTTACAGAGTGATCTTACAGACTTTTAAAAAATTTAAAAGGCACTTCTGACAAAAATGCAGATAAACATGAATGCAAATGCAAAAACTAATGGGGTAAGAATCAGGCATCATTTTCAACCTTCTTCGAACGGTTCTGACAAGAATCTTGAAACGATACTTTGAAAACCTTCAAATTTTTAGCGTTTTCAGAAAATGTGTCCATAAAATGGACGATGCGACACACTTCATTTAACAGTTTCGGAAAAATATACCGTCTTCAGGATATTAAGAACTGAAGAGAAGGAGGCGAGGCTGTCTGGTCATTTTGAAATGTGAGGAAACACTGGATACTAATTCATTCAAAAGATGTTGGCTGCGCCAGGCTGAAGCGTAGAAAGAATGGTTTCAATGCCTGTACAAATTTTCTCTTTACAGAAGTCAGGAAAGAAAAATTTGGGATAAGAATTGATGGTTGAATTTTCTTTGTAATACCTGCTAAAGATTACCAACCGGATATGGCAACTCATGTAATGTTATATTTAATAACATCAAGCTGTATTTCAACTGCGTGGTTGTTATTTGGGAGAGGAAAATCTTCAATAATTTTAACAGGAATAGTCTAATTTTGATAAAACGGATGATGAAGATATTAAATTTGTGGACAAATATTTGAGAAACAAAGATTTTAGGATTAATCTGATTGCTTGAATTCTTACTGACTTTGTTGCTTTTCAATATTCTTTTTTTTTTTGATTCGCACAATTCGACAAGGTCTATTTTACCTGGAATTTCGAGATGCCTATACTTATGTAATTATTTGTGGCTATGTTTCAAGGTGCTGCATACATGGCGTTGCAGCCATGAAAAGAAATGAGTAAAGAGTAAGGTAGTTTTATGCATCATTTCTAAATTCTTCGCTTCATCTTCCATTCCAACTTATGTTTTATCACATTCATTTATACTTCGTTTCAAATAACAACACCAATTCTTGTCAGTATCGTGTTGTAAATTAACTCATGTTGATTATCAAATTCATGCACAATGTCGATATATTTTAAAGAATCTCAAGTCAATTTGTCAGCATATTGTAGAGAACTTCAGATCATCTTCAGATCATCTTGGAATCAATCAATTCTAACTTCCTAGATTGTTGTAAGCAAACTCCCACTATACTATATAAGGGATACAAACAAACACAGAAGGAATCCCTTTCTATAAGTCATTCTACAATTTAGTAGTTTTCTACAATTCAGTTCTTCAGTCTGTCACTCATGCAATAGTATACATCCAAATCATTGAAAGAACTGTGGGATCCCAATTAATCAATCAATTCAACCAACTTGGTAACCAACTTTGTATTTAATATTCTCTGGAAATTTCCTTGCAACGTATAATACTTCTCCATCTATCAATAAACCGTCGTCAATCAATGTTCAACTGTCCCTGCACACCAAAATTTCTAAAATTTTCACAACAGTTTTTTGGTGTAAATTTAAGAGAGAACAATGCTTGCCTTAATTATCTTCAAATAAGACATAGGGCAAATGGTTGAAACAAGAGTAAACATCCATGTTTCCATTGCAAAAGTCCTCATAATACTGCATTATATTATGTCAAATACAAGGGTAGCGAATAAAATGTTGGATTAACCAAAGAAAGAATGGATTTAATAACCATAATCAGTTCAATAATTGAACGAAAGAATCAACAAGGAAAGGAACTCTTACATTACTCTTACATAATCAACCCAAAGATACCAAAACTACAGGAAGAGGCTTTTAGTGTTGTTTGTTGGTTTGCAGATACTTTTTATATCCAAGAATTTAGCAAATCGATTAAATCTAAATAAAAGGGAAGAAAATTGGGTAAATCATTGGGTAATGAGAGGCCTAAACCATATCTTTCAATCAAAGCAAAAATTGAAGTTAGCATTGGAAAAAAGAAAATGATTTTTGAGGTTAATATAATAGACTATTTGATAAAATAAATAACAAATAGTTAAATAAACGACTCTGACTTATCTATGATAAATCAAGACCAATTAAATGGTCAGAAGGGTCAGGGAACAGCCTGACATAGTTATTGGAGCCTATTGCTTCTTCAAATTTATTCAGCTAGATAAAGTCTAAAAATTTGAATCAGGATTTTTCTTGCTCTACACAAAATTTAGATTCATGATAGCTGGAGCATAGATAAATTCCACAATTCTAAGACAGTATCGATCAAGGCCAAATTAACGAATGTGACTAGAGTGTCCCAGACATAAATCAATTCTGGAAACTAAAACCCATAAGCATTCGGGAATAGCCTGATGCCAATGATAACGAGAAGATACTGGAACAATCCGAAAAAAACTATTACCAAACAAACAGGAAGATATCAAATTCGTTGGCCATGGAAATAATCCAAGGTAAACTTAAATGACAATTATGCTCTATGCCTTGATCGCTTAAAAATATTAACGAAACGATTCAGATTGATGAACATTTACTTTAGCGAGATGAAGAAGCAATTCGAGACCAACTAAATAAATTCCAATATAATTGAGGAAGTATGATCCGACATGGATCAGGACGATATTATTCATTACTTACTTCATCATGAAATTACAACTCCAAATAAAGCAATGACAAAACTGAGAACTGTTTATGATGCATCAGGACATCTTGAAGAAATGAAAAGTCTAAATGACGTCTTATATTGGGGGTCCAAATTTAGGGGGAGTATCACTTCATTTAAAATGAAAATGTAATAGTGGTTGATATATAAATTGCATTTCTACAGTTGAAATTGCACCAATTTAGAAAGAAATTACGCCCGATTTCTTCAGCTAACGGATACTCGAGGACAAAAGTAACTGAAGATTATATAAAATTTTGTCACTTTCAAAGAGTTCCTTTTGGAATGATGTCATCCTCCTTTCTATTATTAGCAACTTTCGACCATTACTTGGGAAGTTTTGGCAGTAAAATTGCTTTAAAAATAAGGATTCATTTATATGTTGATAATGTTACATTATTGGTAAAAGAAATGGAAGAAGTACTTCAAAAATACAATAAAATAAAATCTATATTTATCGAGACAGCAATAAACATTAGAGGATTGCTTTCAAGCGATGAAAGTTTCAACGCAAAATTATCAAGCCGAGGTAGGCCAAACAAAGGAAATTCTCGGCCTTAATTGGATTTCTAATAAGGTTACCATCCAAGTAAACTTAAGACCATGAAGTGGGAAAGAATTAACCAAAAGAACAAACTATCGGCATGATATTTGACTTTCATTATGATATTTGGGATTTCTTGTCCCTACGATAACACCATTCAAGAGATTTCTTCAAAACTTATGGAAGAAAAATAATTCTTGGGACCAGAATTGTAGCAAAAATTTTTATTTATATAATGCACACAGACAAATTTTTCTTTTCGATTTTAAATGGCAATAAAAATTTAACATTTTTTTGATATTAAATATTTTAATAGTATAATTTGAATAATATGATACATTGAATAAAGAGAATGGAGTGGAACATTTAGAAATGATGAAATGAAGTGAATCAATATTGAATCTTCCCAAATATCCTGAAAATATTATAGGAAAAAACAATTGTGGCCGTTTAGTGATGTAACATTGAGAATAGATGTAATTAAGAAATGACCCATCAACTAATTAATTTCTAAGGATTTGAATAGTTAAACAATTATTTCGATAAACTTTCATAATAAGCTTTACTGCTTACAGCATACAATTGCACTGTTCCACTTCAAATATTGAATAATTAAAATGCCTTTTCATTCATTTACTGTTCCATAAGGATTATGTGCCAAGAGTTTAAGCTACTCTGCTGCAACAGCCTAGTAATATTGCTGTGCTGAGATGTTGGAGACAGCCAGGCTAGAAACATTTGTTCTCATTTAAACTAACTGAGATTAGGAGAAACAAAGTATTTGAGTGCCGCAGAGTAATCATTTTCAACAAAAAATTTCAGTGTTAAAAGAAAAAATTTGTTACGAGGTAAAAAGCTTGCGGTGAGGAGAGAAAAAAAAGAGACAGAGGGAAGGAGAGGGAGAGAGAGAGAGAGAGAGAGAGAGAGAGGAGGAA